TCCCCGACACCGGGCTGCGGCTGAGCATCGATGCGGACCTCGGCATCACACCCGACCCGTGAGTGACACCTCTGCGGGGCTGGGAGCAGCCCCAGCTCCCCACCGGAGCGATGGGGCCACATCCAGCACTCGCCCCCTGCCTGGGGGAGCGGGGGGGGCTGGGACGAGCAGGAGCAGGGGCAGCCCCCACGCTCCAGCCTCCACCTCTCCTGCCTTGGCACAGCTCGACCACCGAGGTGATGAGACTGTCCATCCTGGCGGACCTCCACGTGGAAATGAACCCCGAAGGGAACCTGGAGCTGGTGGCCTCTGCCTGCAAAGCCACCTTGGAGGAGATACAGAGCACCGAGGAGTTGGAAAGGTCGACCCTATGGTTTTCCTTGTTGTGGGGTCTGGGTAATGGGTGAAAAGAAGAAACTGAGGCACAAGCATTTCTAAGGCAGGAAGGTGACATGACTGAGACCTGCTCACTGCGCTAAAAGCTTACAAAGGTTAACGCTGTCTTCGCGGGAGGAAATTTGTTCTGCTTGCAGGGTTGTTCCACCCTTTTCAAGACAGTTTCCTTTTCTCTAAGGGAGCGGATCTTTCTAAGTAGTGTAGCGGGAACATTTTTAATGCAAGTCCAATGGCAATTCTGCAGTGTTTTAGGATTCTGAATTGTAATCGTAGCTTAATAGATGATAGAAAATAATGGTGATACTGTCTCTGGCTGCCTTTTGGCTCAGATAAAAGACACTCACCTACCCTTATCTGAGCTGGTTCTTCTCTAACATCTTCCATTCTGTTGTTTTCATCCAGCAAGTCCTCTAGTTCAGACGTGGACAAGGAGATTAACATCGATAAGGTAAGATAAAGCGTGTAAAGGCGTGAGACAGATGAAGACAGAGTTGTACAGTTCTGTAAGAATTAGAACAGTTGAAGTTAACCTGGTGCTTTGCCAGGTCTCCCCCACAGCCCCGCGGTCACCAAACACTGCCGTGCTCCATCTCCCAGCTACCACGCAGCCAGATGATGGGGACACCCACATGGGAGGCGTTCAGGGGAAGCCTGATGCCAGCAGACCCTCACGTTCATCCACTGCCTCTCTTTTTGTTCTTTGTTCCCTAGATTTGCCTGGAAGTCTCCAAATTGCTCCTTTCACCAAACGAACAGCTGATGTCTCTGACAGGTGAGCTTTCGGCTTTCCGTCTCGTTACGGACGAAGGGCTTCGGGGCTCATTTTGGAGCAGGTCATGAGCTGGGACGGGCTCCCACCCTGCAGCAGAAGCCCAGCAGCAGAAACTCCGCTGCTGTCATCTCCCCGGGGACCCGCTCCCTCCACCTCGCTCTCTT